GGTTCAATATCGATACGAATATCGTTGCACCCCTAGTATATGCATATGTAAGCTAATTTGCACTCTTCTTGGCAGAATGCTGGTCATCACTGGAACAAACTATCTGCGTCTTTGTTTATAAATCAGTGCGCTGTGCACTCCCATCAGCGCTTTTTTGTGATCTCATCACACCAATCTGCCTCATTTAGTGAATTTGGCCATAATAGTTGGGATTAGGTAAGTAGCATTCATGGTTAGAGTAGGAAATAATCAATGTAAGTCAATGTCCTCTTATGTGACAGAAACACCACTTTGTGCGCATGTGCACGCATGCGATTGTGTGGGAGAGAGATGAGGGTCTTTAAAGTTTTGCTCGATTGGATGTGTGCGCGGGGGAGCACGGGGGGGTGGGGGGGACGAGATAAGAAGAGAAGGCTTGAGTGAAAATTGGGGAAAAAGAAAGTTTAAAAATGAGGTGTCAATTCTAGTGTTTCATCTGGGCAAGATAAAAGAACAAAGAGAAATCAGTTTAATGTTAACTTTGATGCTCGGAACCTTTGATTCACTCACAATAATTACACTGAGACAGGTAAGCGTGCATAAACACATACTTGCACAGGCCTTGAGATTTTGCTAATCTATTTAAACACTTCGGCGTACACTATTCAGTTCAATTCATAAAATTGAGATATTAACTCAGTCTTGCAGCCACATACATTATAGAACACTTTGTGCACAATTGTAGCTGTGCTCACAGTATGAGGTCAGGAACCAAAGAGCTGCATTTACTTCTCTGCACATTAGCATAATGAACATCCGTTAAGAGATTTTGTTGAACACTAGACAGCCCTGCTAAAATATGATTACAATGTTGTGCAACAACAGATGTCAGATTATAAAACATGATAAAATAAAAAAAAATATGACCGAGGAAAAACACAATTTTTTTTTCCCCTAACTACTTGTGGTGTCGTTGCTAAAATATTCATGACATTTAAAACATTGTCAGGTACTTAACAACAGTGGCTGTGCAAGGAGGGCTAGAAATGTATTTAAAATGTGAGAGAAATTAGCAGGCAGTTTTGACATCCTGTTTTATACTGGCTTAACAACACAAGAATGATTAAATGCCACAAACGCGTCTAGGTTGTCCATCCATGTATAAAAACATTGCTTGGTCTTTCAGACCATCCAAAGAAAAATTAACATTAGACATGAATTCTGCCAGGCATCAGTTCATGCCCTAAGGATGAAGCCCACTTGGGTCATGCAGCAAGACAGTGATCCTAAACACACCAGCAAGTCCACCTCTGAACAACTCAAAAACTCTCCAGTCTGACCAAATTAAAGCAATTCCTGCACAGAGAAGGAGTAAAAGACTATCAGCTATCACAAAGACTTAATTGCAGTTGTTGTTGCCATTACTTTTTCACGCATGACTAGGAAGGTTTGAACAGCATTTTGCATTTACTCGGCGTTTCCTCATCTGATATTAAAGTTTGCTTTTTGACTGAAAACTTTTAATTAATACCAATATGGAAAAACTAAGAATCGGGAAAGGAACAAATACGTTTTCTCAGAACTATATCCATATATTTGAATTGTTCTACCACTCTTCTTCCAGTAACTTAAGCTCCACATTCAGTTAACCTGGGCGACCTTCTATTTGTAACTTGTTAGTTCTGGAGTTCTGTGCATGATGAGTAAAAACAAGAAAACCTTATTGTTAATAGTTCGTGTTTTCTGGCATTGCATCGTTTGCCTTAAAGCTGAGGAGATGTTAGCATTTTTATTAAGCATCTATATTTGTTATCCTCTGATATACTCTGTATACATCTCCCTGTCCATAGATGCAGAGTGCTCGCTTACTCAGTGCAAAGTTTAATGGAACACAATCACCAAAAACCTCTGCAGGTCTAAAGCTGTCACTGTACTGTTGCCTTAAATGTTTTATTTCATTATGAATTTCCTCTACTTGTATTTTATGTAAATATAACTTAATGTAAAAGAAAAGGTCACTATAAACAGCATTCAGCATTCCACTGCTTTTTTTCTGTCTATATTTAATTTGTCCATTTCTCTTGTTTTACCGGCTGCACTGAAATTGTAGCAAGCTAGAGTGAGAGAGCCTGTTTGTATGGGTTGTGAGCTTTAGTGTTACGATGCACTGAAAGCCACCGTGGACTTTGACGACGCCTGAAGACTGACGCGTGTTAGACTGATGTGTGCTCTGTTGGCTTCAGACAAAGAGACCACATGTGGTGGCTATTCTACCACTGCCACTGCATCATTAGCCACAGCTGGTGTAAGACTGTGTGCATGTGTGTGAATTGCAAAGGGTGGCTGATTGGATCAAACCAACCTCAAGGGAGAATGTGTATTTGTTATTTTAACTCTCGCCCCCACGTCACCTGTCTCTCTCGGTTTACCCACACGCATTCACATGCTTCCGCTCCTATTCTGTTTCTTTTCTATAAAGTGTGTGCATGTTAGATTAACATGAATGCAAGAGGAAAAAAGAAAAATTAAATTTAAAAAACACATTCCATTGGATCATCTGGGAAATTTCAGCGTATCAGTAAATTATAAGTATTACATGAGCATCCAAAGCACCACGAGAGACTATTTTTGTAATATAGTGAACAAGAGACTAGTTTTACCAAAAACAGTGTTACATTTGTTTGCTTAATGCCATATTTTATTCATTTTAAGCGTCCACGCTGTCTAATGGGATGTGTTGGTGATGGCTAATTTGTTGATCCAGGTTTTCAAACTCATTTCCACACACAACCCAGTATGATCTCAAGTGGGCCAGAGCAGCAAAATCACTGCATAATATCCTACAAAAAGAAATGCTTCCCTTTCTTTTACTGTGCAGAAAACATTGATGAACAGCTTGACATGTCTTGAGAAAATAAATGTCTTTCAGACAATTTATTTTTCCCCACGTTTAATAAATCTGTCATTATAAAGAAACGCTGCTGTCTTAACTTAAAGAAACACATTAGTGGGACTTTTGGCACCGCTGTCTTACTTCAGTGTGGTATGGCAGGGCACGGGCAATTTCTTTGTCAGGAAAAAACTGACACTGATTCAAAACTGTGGCTCAGATGAAATTACCACTGTCACAGCACGCTCCATTCATAATGGCATTACAACAGAATTTTTCCTAGTGCAGGATACAAAGAAAATATAAATATATAAAAGAATTCGTGTTTGGACCATTTACTGGAATAGTTCTGCATATTATACACATGTATGTATATGTATATACATGTTCTACAGTAGATCATAACTATTTTACTTAACTATTTCATGATTTGGTTTGTATTGCATTACATTAAGTCTATTGAATAATTTGTATCTCTTGTGGCAATGCTTCAAAATAAGTCATAGTCAAATCATTGCTTCCTGTGACCACAGCACTTCTTATATCATAAATAAAAAGAGATCCAAATAGTCTGTTTTATCCTGCAAATGTAATTTCTATTGGTTTTTTCCTTTGCGCAGAAAAGAACACATTGTTTTATACCTTTACAGTATGAGGATAAGCTTATCGTCTGACTGTAAATAAATGTTTTTGTTCCTTTGGCTTAGTCTTTTTCTCTGTATAACCTTTATGTTGTAATGGAAGCTGAAAGGTCACACAGCATCTCACTTAAGATTGAGAATTCACAGCTACATTGCACCCCATGACCAAAGAGTACTACTGAATCTGATTCAGAACTGGGTGGAAAAACTGAGAATAACAGTGGAGAGTGAGTAAACGGCAAACTGAAGAATAACAATGAATTTCCTCTTTTCTGCATCTGAGATATCCATTTCCTAATGAGAGGGGAGGAGGAAATTAAACAACATGAATTAAACAACACAGCTTGGACATTTATGTGCCTGCCATAAAGCTTGGACAGGCTGAATTTATGAGGGTTTGGTCCAGTAAATACAGCACTCGGGAAATCTGATTAGGCTCATAAATAGAATAGTTTCCCGCTGTCCTACCCTTCACCCAAAGTACCTTTCGAAAGCATATGTTTGGGCATTTTCCTTTCCTTTACAGCCACCCAAGGGTTCCTTGTTGTTAAGGGCCCACTGTAAGTGAGGGTCATTCAGATTTCAAGTGTTTAATTCCTGTGACTTGGTGCGTGAGCAGCTTCCTGGTATTTCATTATGCACAATCAGTCTTATTATTGTTTCCTGCCTCATAAAACACATTAATTTGCTTGTAAATTTGTAATCTGTAATCTCAAGGATTTATTCATGAGAGCGGTTTGGGTTACTTACAGTACAAGATGAAGCATGAGAGATCATAAGACAGATTAGGGAGCCGCTAACGGGCGTCCTGTCCTTCAGCTGCTTATTTATTTATTTATCTCCTTTGACTATTGAATATGGCATGTTCTCAAAGCTTTTCCTCATTGAACCATCAAAAAAGATGACGGCAGCACGCTTTCTAAGTCCTACATCACTCCTAAAAGTTTCTAAAAACAAGATTAAACCCAAGAAAGCTTTAATATTTGTATTCTTATTTTATCCTCTGGATCAGTTATGAAAAGAAGATTTGAACCTAATATTATAATTTCCTCTACAGGGAGTATGTGTTGCAAAAAAGGCGTCGCTATAACTTACTAGATATCTTGTCAAATTTAAATTGTTTCACTTCATGGCAGTAATAAACTTGTCCTCTGTAAAACATCTCTTTGCCTATCATTGGTGTAGAAAAGACATTGTCCTCACCTACATTTACCCTCTGAATGTCCCCTAGGTGGAGTGGTTAAAGAATGAAGAGGTAATCGACCCGGCGGAGGACAGAAACTTCTATATCACTATTGACCACAACCTGATCATCAAGCAGGCGCGTCTCTCTGACACAGCCAACTACACGTGTGTGGCCAAGAATATAGTGGCCAAAAGACGAAGCACTACAGCCACCGTTATTGTTTATGGTAAGTTTGTCGGTATGTCTTTCTGTGTGTGTAGGTGTGTGTGTGTGTGTGTGTGTGTGTGTGTGTGTGTGTGTGTGTG